CTCATACTCACGTCCTCACCCTTCAGCATCCCAGAACAGGGACTTATTTGGAAACAGGATCCTTACAGATGTGTTTGTTAAGATGAGGTCATACTAGAATAGGATGAGCCTCTCACCCAATTATATGGCTTATTTTATAAGGAGAATCTGAACATAGACATAGAGAGAGGAAGTTCATATGAAGAAACACAGGGAGAAGAGGACCTGGAGGGGAAAAGCTCCTTCCCTCCAGTCCTTCATAGGGGACCAATACTGCCAACACCTTGATCACACATTGCTAGTTCTGGAGAACTGTGAAAGAAGAAATTTCTGGGGTTTAAGCCACCCACTCTTTGGGAGTGGTACTTTGCATCCTTGTGAAATTGTATTAGTGCTTTGCTCATTAACTTCTGCTTCTTATTAGCTGCCACTTTATGCAAATTGGTTTATTTAGCTCTCTAAGATTTAATCTCTTCCTCCATCAAAGATACAGGAGCATTTGCCTTATGACATCTTTGTGAGGGTTAAATAAAAGAGCAGATAACATGATGTTCATATGGCTTAGGAAAGTCATGCAGTTAAATCAGAGATTTTGAGGAGAGTGGAGAAAGTCAGAAATAGTCACAATGTATAATTTACTACAGGCTACTGTGTCTAGAATAGGCACTCAATGTATCACCATAAAGAGGGTCTATTATCATCTTAATAGAAAAATAGAAGGATGGAGGGCAAGCTGACCAGGGAAGCAGAGAATGGTAACATGGGCCACCATGGATTTATAGTGTCACCATCTACAATGTGTGTGGTTTTTCTGGAAGTGCTCAACAGCTGTACAATTGATGTAGAGAAGATAAACAATTGAGTTTATACAAGGCTGGGCTTCAGTTAAGTAAAAGCTTTCAAAGGACAAAGGGGTAAGGAGGTGGAACATTCTGGAAAGACAAAGTGAAGTGAGGGAACTCGGGACTTAAGTAGATATAGAGGAACTGGGCATCTGAGCCTGTCGCTATTTCTACAAAAGAGGTTTGTGTGTGTTCTCATTTTCTAATGACCAGAGCACATGGAAATTGCTGCTTCCTGGGGAAACAGATGCTGCCAGATGTGAGTGCTAATGAGCTACAAGCTGATGGTCCCCCTAGCTGGTCTTCCTTCTCTACAGCAGTCCTGATGGCCTCAACTACCAGACCATACTCTGGGACATGCTCATCCCTGTGAGAGTACACCCGTATGCTTGTGTCCTACAATGAAATACCTGAAGCAGGCTACTTGGGAAGAAAATGAGCTTATAATTCTGGAGATTCAAGTCTAAAATCAGGAGGCCCCACTCATTTGGGCCTCTAGTGAGGGCTGTATATCATGGCAGGAGCTTATGTCAGAGTGAGTGCTCACAGCTCTAGGCAGGAAGCAGAGAGAAAGAGACGCACACACCAGGACACCTCTTTGAGAGTACACCCCCAATGAACTAAGGATCTCCCAAAGGCATCACCACCTACCTGTAGCACTCACTCTAGGAACCAAGTCTTTTCATGTAGACTGTTAGGAGACATTCAATATCCAAACTATAGCAGAGGGAGTGCTATGGCCACCAACTGCATACATAGCTGGCATGATGGTTTACCCCAGGTTAATCTAATCCGTGGTACTTTAAAATATCGCCCTGGCCAAGTCTGTTCAGATCTTTGGGTTTTATTACTACAGTCTTCCAAATCTTCTCTTAGTTGTCATATTTCAAATAAGAACTATGGATTTGGGGCCAGAAGTGTGGTACATACCTATAATTTCCAGAACTCAGGAGGATCATGAGTTCAAGATCAACCTGAGATACATGGCAAGACCCTATCTCCAAAAACAAAACAAAACACAACAAATGACCAAAAAACTCAGTGGATATCTTCATCATCATCATCCTAGTTACTATAATACTTCAGTGTCTCCAGACACAAATAGTGATGGGAAAGAAATCTAGAAGTTTGGAGTGATGGCATACTATAATTATTCCTAGTTTAAAAAAATGGTTAAAACTAAAGAGAAATAGCAAATATAATCACAAGCAGTGAGGACTATGATACCATGCTGTTGAGAATGTAAATTAGTACAATCTCCTTGGAAAACAGTTTGGTATTTTCCACATGGTTGAATATATGTATATCTATCATGTAGCAACTCCATTCCTAAGTATAAGCACAACAGAAATAGATAAGGATCTCCTGAGCAGAAATTACTCATAATGGACTAGTGATGGAAGCAATTGCATTGCCCATCCACATTAACATGGATGGATAAATGTTCCGTTGTGTGACCATATAGCAATGAAAACTATAAGCTATAGCCATAGGCAACAACATAGATGAGTTTCACCAACAAAATACTGGATGTCAGCCAACACAGAAGAACACACACTGTCAAATCTGTTCACACCAAATTCAAAACAGGGCAAAGTGACTGTTTAGGAATGCAGACTTCAGTGGGTCCCATACAAAGAACAGCAGGGAAAAGCAGACCATGACTCAAGATAGTTATCTTTCAGCAGGCCCATCCCTCACAGAAAATAGCCACGACTGCAAACTGTGGACCCATGGATATACTTTTAGTAGTATTTTTATTTGCTTATGCACAAATAAAAATATGTAATAGGTATTATATGCAATAAATTTTCTTCTCACTTTCATTTCATATATATATATATATATATATATATATATTCTGATTATTATCATGAGCTTTAAAACAAAGGGTCAATATTCATCCAAATAATAAACTTTCAGGCTTCACTGACACATTACCAAAAAAGGTGAGGTAAAAGTACAAATCGAGAACTACATTTATAATCCTAAACACTTAAGTATTATAACAAACTAATAAGGTGTTAAATGGAAGCTATTCTATCCTCCTACCTGACAAATATCTCATCATGACAACCTGGAAGGTCATGTTGGACCGTAGAATTCTCGGCCCTCTTGGAGCTTCTTGTTGGAACATGGGACACAAGTAGAAACTAGCCCCCAGACTCAGCCACCCACCTTCACTTTCCGCCCCTTGGGTGCTCACATACTGTGCTCATCAACCCTCAGATCTTACCTTCACCCATGGCCTTGCACAAATATCTGCTCCTAGGTGACCCCTCGAAGGTGGGCTTGAGGAGAAGGCATGGAGGTGAACCTATCATCATCGACAAGGGGTCCCTGTGTCCCAGTACTTGCACAAGATCTAGGAAGGGAAACATGAATTCCAGGTGCACTGGCCTCTTGGCCCCACATATTTCTTATCCCTTGAGAAGGTACATGGCTGAGGATAATCAAAAGCCCCAATGCTCAAGGCCTCACATTGGGTCCCCCCTTACATGGGGCTCAGGGCAGTACTGCCCTTAAAGGAAAGCAAGAGATTGCATAGGAAGAGCACGCAAAAGGTTTCTTGGGGCCCTGGCACTATTCCACATCTTAATCTGGGTGACAGATAACATTCATAAACAGCGTATTAAGTTCTGTCTTTGTTTTGTATAGTTTTCTGTATGTGTGCTATATTCCCAATAAGAAAAAGGGGTGTGTGTGTGTGGTGTGTGTGTGTTTCCTGGTGCTGTAGTTTATGGGATCCCCAAAAAGAAATCAGCGCTGAGCGGTTGCCTCATAACTGCAGACACCTTGGGGCAGTTAAAATGCTTCAAGGTGTGAATGCCTAAAAGGGAAATGAACAGACTGCTGGAAGCAGTAACTCTCCCTGCTGGGCCCTGGGCTGTCTGGGGTGGAGACACTTGGGAAACCATGCATGGGTTCAGGCAGAGCAAATGAGTCATGGGCTCTTGTCCTCTTGCCTTGCCACTGCAAGAGCCTCACAGGAAAATTCCTTTTCCGCCTTTTGCCAAGAATTATAAATACTATATTTATCAAACCAAAATTACAGGAGGTTGTTCCCATCTTGGTAGAAGCAAAAGGAGACCAAAAGGGGACCAACTCCTATTACCCTCTGTTTGGAACACAGTTCTAGGAAGGCCTCTCTTCCTCATAAGAGCAGTTGGATGGGTTCATCACATCTTTTGCTAAATGTCTACTATGTTGCAGACACAATCCTTGTTTTTCTGTTCCACCATCCACTTAGTTTCATTCTCGACAGGGAAACAACTCTCCTTTTATAAAGATTCAGATTGTCGATTCTCAAAAAGATTTCCTTGTATCCCACATGGTTTAAATATCAGGATTTTTCTAAGAATACATATTTCAGTGATAATTCAGAAACACACACACATATACACACACACCACCTCAGATCTTACAGCCATGAGAAGATGAAGGAAAAGTGAAAATTTGGCCTATGCTTGTCCTCTGAAAGCCCAGTCAATTTTTCTTCCAAAAAAGAAAATTCTGAGCTTTGCATCTAAGCTATTTAAAAGCCACACATCTAAAAAACACACCAGTTCCTCCCCCTTTGGAGGAAGCAAGGAAAACATAAGATTCAAGTGACCTTCAAAAGCTGCTGGTGGGAGGTAGATCAGGTACAAAGGGTGGCTTCAAACTGATAAAAGCAGCAACATGTAAAATTGGTTTGGAGGGGGAAATGAAGGAGCGTTGGGAGAGCAGAAAATACAGGCTAAATCCACAATTAAAGCTGTAGATTATGGACTAGAAAGGATCCCACTCACTCCCACTATTGACAACACCTGGCACATATGCCCCTGTCACTCAAGCTCCACCTCACATCCATCTTTTCCCTCCTTTATGTTTTCTCTTGCTCCATTGCATATGTGACAGAGTACCTGCAACATTTTATAGCACAGCTTTATTTTTTTACCTTACCCAACTAGACTATGAGCTCCCTAAGGACATGACCATATTTTATACATCATAAAAGTTAAGTTAATGTAGCATGAGTGCCATAAATACTTTCTATGAATGAATGAATGATGGATTCCATTCATGAGACTATGGATTTGGCTTTTCTAATCGCTATGATTCAATCCTTAAATGATGGAAGTGTCTTGACCCCTTCCAGAGTTTACCCACCTTTCTGTTTCTAACTTGTGTTTTCAGGTTCAGCGAACTGTGAGTCCCATAGTGTCAGACACGGGCAGGAGCACGTCCTTCAAGTAGAGTTATGACAAGAAGTAAACTGACCAGCAGTACACTGAAACACTGGTGGGATTGTTCTCCGATCCAGAGCTCCAACATTCCTGGGGAGAAAATGTGGACGAGGGTGAGTAGGAAAAAAAGCACATTTTGTGATTCCCTTTTCTCCAATTCCACTTGAACTAATTCCTCCAAAATAGTATGATGAATGGTGTTCTCTTGTCATACAGCCTGCAACTAATATTTGAAAAGAAAATACATTCATTTTAGGCCACCAGATTTTCTCTGTTAGGTGAGTTTGTTTTTTTTTTTAACATGGGTTGATGCTCACAGAGAATCTTCTTTCATCCAGAAATCTCTAGGGAAGAAATCTTCTGGATACAGGTAGCATTTTGCACTTAGTAAAACATACCTGAGCAAGTCAAAGTGTAGAACTAGTCAAAGCTGATTGGCCAGCTAGGGATTAGTCTATTCTCTGCCAATTGCTTTAAACTACTTCACTGCCATTTCACCATTCCAGAAGAAAATCACCTTGGCCTGGGGAGGAAATTAGGGTTAAAAGTCAATTCATCTATGTAACCACAGCTTCCTCATAGTCTTATGAAAATTAAATGGAAGAACTTACATGTCATTTCACCTACTAATGGACTTCCAAAGGAGTCAGGCGTTATGCACAGTGTAGTGGCCTTGCAGGGAAGCACGTGCTGGGGACAGGGGTGGAGTCCTGTATATATGTCCTCACTCTTGCTTAGTAGTAAGTAGTACATTGGGTCATGAGCCAGTTACTTGACCTTTTTAAATCTGTTTCTACATTTATAAAATGGTGATAGGAGGGTTATTTACAGGATGAAATGAGAAAATGTACTTAATGTGCTCACAAGATAAAGGTTAATTCCCTGATGATTTGAGACCAGTCGTCTGCTGTCTGTAAGAGAACCAACCATCAACTGCCCACAAATACAAAAGCACCGAGCAGCCAAACCAAGCCAAAAGGGTTCTATTTTATTTGCAGGAAAAAGGCTATAAATTAAATTCAATGACAAATGTTTTCTTTAAACATTTTGACAAGCAATAAAAGGTTTACCTGGAAGTCATTAAAGATAAGTTTGATTTTCACACCACTGTGATGTTGTAAGGTAAAGTACTGAACTCCTAAAAGTTTCCTTTAGTTCTAGGACAAATATCTGTTACAGAATTAGATACTTCAGAGACTTTGGTCAAACCAAATTACCAATCCATATTGAAAAGAATTACATTTATTTGTGACTCATATGCCATTCAACATAAATACTAATTTATGTATACTGAACCAAAACTCATCTCTTATTTGTTTATAATGACTCAGCCATGCTTACTAAACTGAGACAAACACAGAGAAAGGAAAAAGTATTCTCTAAAGCAAGCCAGCATTTCATCCCATCTGAATCCCTGCAAGAGACATTAGCACCATGTTCTTTTCAATACATGTGGATCCTCAACATTTGTTATTTGAGCCCTAAAAACCAGACAGTTCCTCCTTCTGAAATCTTCAAATTGCTTTAGCCAAAATATCCTTTGAGATATATAATTCCAAGACTTCTGGGTGATATTTTTCCCTCATTATTGAACTTTATTTCAATATCACACACACCACCACCACCGCCAACACCACCAGTTCATTTCACATTGGAGAAAGTAATAAATATTTGGAAATTATCATTATCACCAATGGCCAAGGGTATTTATTCCTTGTCATCAATGCTTCCTATGGATATATTTCTTATGCTTTTCGAGGTACAGCATGTTGCTTAAAAATATCAACTTGAATCCCAGCCATGCCATTAACAAAATAATAGGTCCCTAAATGAGTTAATTAACTTCTCTTCACCCATAAGAGGGGGTTGAGAATAGCCTCCACCAGGAAGGGTTATTATGATCATTAAATAGATGAATTGCTTAGAATTGTGACTGCCATATACTAAGCCCCAACACGTGCTTCCAAATTACCAATCCATAATGAAAAGAATTCCATTTATTTGATTCCTATGCCATTCAACATAAATATTAATTGATATATACTGAACCAAAACTCATCTCTTACTTGTTTATGACTCAGCCATTCTTACTAAACTGAGACAAACTAAGTTACGTAGGGAGCACATAAGAAGAGCAGTCAGTGCAGCTCACAGAAATCGCTGAAGGGAAAGCAGAGTATAGGGAAGGCCTGGTGAGAGATGGGCTTGGGATCGGGTTTGGGCTAGACTCAGTGGCCCTAAGCTTCCAGTAGCATCAATGAAGATACCAGGCGTGAGGGCCTGGCCAGGACAATCCTTTGGGGAAACCTCTGCTAAACTCATAAATACTCTTAAAAGCAAGTCCCTTACACAAACCTCAGCAGAGAAAAGCAAGGCCTGAAATCATAGTACAAATATAAACCCGAAGAAAAGGTAGAGAGGTCATGCCACACCTGCAGGGCTGCAGAGGGGCTGGGCACCAGCGGCAGTCTTTTGAGAGAGTTGTTTGGTTTGGTTCCATTTTTAGAGAGTTGGTAGTTAAACATTTACCCAGGCACCACTGGGAAGGATGAAGAGGCTGGCTCAGAAAGACTGAAAGTCTGAAAAAGAAATACTTTAAACCGCAAACCTGTGTCTTTGACATTCATACTTGTCCACCTCACATGAGACAGGAAACTTCCATTTGGGCCTGGTGTGTTCTGGTTTATCCAAAGACAAAAAGCCAAATTGAACTCTTGCTCCACAGAACAGCAAAAAGTGTTGACTGACAGAATTTGAAAGTGTTGCTCTATTTTCCTACTAAATACTAGTTCAATGTAGGTCCAATGTAGCTATCTACACCGTGTATTCACATCTACTGTAAGTTTGTGGTAAATGTCCTAAAAAGGGGGGATATGATGAAAAGGGGGTAATTCACATGCTCTTTAGCCACCCTTTTTAAAATATAATTATTCTGACATCTTGTAAGGAATATGAAAACTCTATCTAGTGACAATTATCCCTCTGCATCATTATACTTAAAAGACAATTTGAGTTGTTCAGCTTTCTAGGTTGTTCCTTAAGTATAAAGGTGAAAGAGTCAGGATCAAAATAAAGAAGCACCCCTACATCTGCTTGTGTTAGTGTGCTTGGGGTGCCATAGGAAAGTACACAGACCAGGGGGCTTAAACAACAGGAATCTATTTCTTCACAGATCCGGAGGCTGGAAGTCCAGGGTGAAGCTCTCGGGAGGGTTAGTGTCTCTCTTAAGGCCTCTCTCCCTGACCTGTAAGTGTTGCTGTCTGTCTGTGTCATCAGATGGTCTTCTCTGTGCCTGTGTCTGTGTCCCATCTCGTCTTAAAAGGCCACTAGTCATACTGGAGAAAAGCCCAGCTTCTGGAAAGATCCTATCTCCAAATATAGTCCCATTCTCAGGAAGTATGGGTTTGGACTTTCACATATGAATTTGGGAGACAAAGGGGACACAACTTGCACTCTCACACTGCATAAGCACAAGCATAATGTACCCATGAGGACAATTTGACTTAATAACATCACACATCAAGTTCTTGGGAAAACACCTTCTGAGATGGAAACTGAGGTTTCTGAGGAGTGCTCCAAGGAACACTGTCCAGGCTGAGGGAGAAGGCCGCAGCTAAGTGCATAGGCTCTAGCTGGATGGCCCTTCAGAATGGCCTGGAATTGATGCAAAAGGGGCTGCTGGGGAGGATGCATGCCGTGCAGATGGAAGCTCTCTCTAGCTGAAGGGAATTGCAGCAGTGGGCCACCATGAGTTGCCATTTACCAAACCTTTGGCAGTTGACAGAATGAATAGCTGCTCATTCAGAACCTCTGGTCAGTGCACCTCCGTGTCCACTATAAATGTGACATTTACTTTCCTCAAAACCTCCAGAATGGGTCAAAATATTTACAAACCATACATGTAACAAATAGATAATGTTCCAAATATGTAAATGACTCATACAACTCAGAAAACAAATAACCTAGTTTTAAAACTGGACAAAGGACCTAAAGAGTCACTTCTCAGAAGAAGATATACAAATGGACAACAGGTATATAAAAAGGTGCTCAAAATCACTAATCATCAATGAGATGCCAGTCAAAGCCATCGTGAGATATCACCTCTCATCTGTTAGGATGGCTTTTAGTCAAAAAATATCAACTGCTGGCAAGGATGTGGAGTAAAAGAGCTTGTTGGTAGGAACACAAACTGGTGCAGCCATGATGGAAAATGATATGGTGGTTCCTCAAAAAATAAAACAATGGAACTACTTATGATCCAGCAACCCACTTCTGGGTGTATAACCACAGGAATTAAAGTCAGTATGCTGAAGAGATATATGGCCTCTTGTGTTCACTGCAACACTATTCACAGTAGCCAAGAAATGGAAACTACTTGTGTACCCACCGACACATGAATAGATGAAGAAAATGTGGCATGGATAGACAGAGGAACACTGTCCAGCCTTCAAAAAGAAGGAAATCCTGTCATTCACAAAAGCATGGATGAAACTGGGGGACATTAAACTGAGAGAAATAAGCCAGGCACAGAAAGACAAACACTGCATGATCTAACTTAAATGTAGAATCTAAAACAGTGGGACTTAGACTGGGGATGTAGCTCAGTGGTAGAGCGCTTGCCTAGCATGCACAAGGCCCTAGGTTCAATCCTCAACACTGAAAAAAAGTTGGGCTCATAGAAGCAAGGAGTAGAACAGTGGTTACCCAGGACTTGGGTCTGGGGAGATACATTGGTCAAGGGTAAACACTTTTAGTATAAGATGAACAAGTTCTGGAACCCTAATGAACAGCATGACTTACATAGTTACATAGTTAATAAGACTGTGTCATATACTTGACATTTACTAAGAGAATAGAACTTAAGTGTTCTCATCACACACACATACATATATGTTCTTCATTATGAGAGGGGGTAGATATGTTATCTTAGTCGTGGTAATCACATATAAATACATATATATATATATATATATATATATATATATATATATATATATATATACATATCTCAAAATATTATGTTTTATACCTTAAATATATACAATTTTATTTGTCAATTATACTTCACTAAAACTGGGAGGGGAAAATTTCTCATAAATGAAAGGGCAAACCC